CTCTCTTGTTCTTCTTCTCCTCTCTATGGATGTATATATACCTAGTGATTTTAAGGACATTTTGAAGAGAACTAACATATGAAATAAATAACTTCGTTAAGCTCGTCGAAACGAGCTAACAAGTTCCATGTAAATTATAATTTACAGTCGATGTTGAATTTTTTAATTTTTTTCCGTAGTATCATCCTTATGTTTTTCGAAATTTTTAATTATATTCAAACTTGAACCAGGCATCTATCCGAATACCTGTACATTCTATCTGTCACTACCTTTGATTATCATATATCCTTTCTTTCTTTCTCCCATTATATTTGTGCAAAATCGAAATTGATGAAGTTTTTATTGACGTGTAGTCTAATATGGTATATGCGGCATTGTCTGAATAAGATAGTTTATTTGAAATAAAGAAAAACATACTGAAAATTTAGAAACAAAGGAAAATATGAACAAAGAAAAAAAAAGAAGCGTTCGGACATGGCTTTGACGCTTGGTGACGAACTTGGAATTCTGATATCTATTATATCAGAGGTAATTCCTAAAAAAAGATGAGACATGATAAGCTACCGTAGAGATATTATACTAACACTTCTCATTCCACACAAAAAATAAAAACCGTCCTCGCACAAACACAATAAGTTATGAACAGTACAAGTAAACTAATAATATAATTATGAAAAAAAAATTCACTAACAAAAAAAAAAGTTAACCAAACTGTTTATAAATGGTAAGTTGTGGGCATTACCTCAGCATACACTACCGGCTTTAAGAATACCATTACAACAGACTTGTGATGATGTATAATAGGCTTGACTACCACAGCATGCATTACCGGCTAAAATAACACCATTACAACAGGTAGATGTTGATTTATAATAGGCTTGACTACCACAGCAAGCATTACCGGCTAAAATAACACCATTACAACAGGTAGATGTTGATGTATAATAGCCTTGAGTACCACAGCATGCATTACCGGGTCTGATAACACCAAGACAACAGGCAGATGATGATGTATAATAGGCTTGAGTACCACAGCATGCATTGCCGGGCAAAATAACACCATTACAACAAGTAGATGTTGATGTATAATAGGCTTGACTACCACAGCATGCATTGCCGGGCAAAATAACACCATTACAACAGGTAGATGTTGATGTAGAATAGCCTTGACTACCACAGCATGCATTACCGGGTTTGATAACACCAAGACAACAGGCAGATGATGATGTATAATAGGCTTGACTACCACAGCATGCAGTGCCGGGCAAAATAACACCATTACAACAGGTAGATGTTGATGTATAATAGCCTTGACTACCACAGCATGCATTACCGGGTTTGATAACACCAAGACAACAGGTAGATGTTGATGTATAATAGGCTTGACTACCACAGCATGCAGTACCGGGCAAAATAACACCATTACAACAGGTAGATGTTGATGTGGAATAGCCTTGACTACCACAGCATGCATTACCGGGTTTGATAACACCAAGACAACAGGTAGATGTTGATGTATAATAGGCTTGACTACCACAGCATGCATTGCCGGGCAAAATAACACCATTACAACAGGTAGATGTTGATGTATAATAGCCTTGACTACCACAGCATGCATTGCCGGCTTTGATAACACCAAGACAACAGGTAGATGTTGATGTATAATAGCCTTGACTACCACAGCATGTATCACCGACTACATTAAAACCATTACATAATAATGCTTCATAAAATTGTGATTTTGTTAATAATAAAAGAAAAACTTGAGATAATATTACTTTATAATTCATGATTTTTTTCTTTAAAATTGTTTTTGAAATAATATTACGAATGGCTATACATTAATCTGAATTGGTTATTATATATATATTCATTTAGTTTCTATAGATTATTGATCGTTATGCATCGTCGACTATCAACTAATCAAGATGTGTAGAAAAAAATGAGAAAAGAGAGAAATAACAAGAGAAAAAAACAATGAAAAAAAATATGAATAATACGAGGCCTCTCGAATTTGTATCTTTTTCAAGCGATTTTAAAGAATGTTATCGAGGTGCGATAGGTTAAAGATAGATTAAAGATGAATTTTAGGAATAATTTCTTAAAAATTGTTGTCAAGTTTCGATAGAAAAAGAATAATTTTACACATAATTAAAAAGTAATTTTTTAAACGAAGGGGTTTTATATAAATAAAGAAAATAAAGAAAATAAAGAATAATTTTCTCTAGGGAAAGGAGGGTCATACGCTGAGTGAGCAAACTTCGTTCGTTCGTGAGTACGTACGTTCGTTGGTTCGTGAGGACGTTCGTTCGTGAGTACGTACGTTCGTTGGTTCGTCAGAACGTTCGTTCGTTCGTTCGTGAGGACGTTCGTTCGTTCGTTCGTTCGTGAGGATGTTCGTGATAACTCTCGTTCGTTCGCTACAGAACAAAAAAAAATATTTCTTTGATGTTTAATATAGATGGATTGTTAAACAAAATCTTCCAAGAATCACTTACAGACTGAATATGTTTAAGACTCACAATTGCGCGAATCAGAAATTGTTCTTTAAATGATACAGAGCTATCATTGTCTATATTTATTATTTTCTTGTAAAAGCATATGTTGGTGATTATTTTTATATGGTTGAGATGTGAATTGTTAAATTAACGTTGACACAGAATTGATTCTAAATATTTTGTTGTTAATTATGTATTTCTTAAATATTTGAATTTTTCCAAGAAGAGGGACATGGGCACATTGAATGATTAGTGAAATCTTTCGTGTTACTAAATTCGTTGTTAAAATTTGAATTGAACGATTCGTAATATTTGGAATAGCAGTTGATTTGTTTTTCGATTGATTGAGTAATAAATAGGAATATATACGGATTGTTGATTATCTACTCGATACGCTCATTATCAGGGAGTTTATCAATGTAAGATGGTAAGGTGCAGGAAATTCAAAATTGGAGCAAAATTTTTTTTCAATAATTTATATACTGCTGGATAGAGCTCGTCAGACTGTATAAGAAAGTGTATTTTAAAAATTTTTTGTTGGCTTAATTCATGGATAAAAAAACGAAATACTTCGATTACTTCCTTATGTGTAAAAATTGCTTGGTTAGATTTCATGACGTTTAACGTTCTTTTTATCTTCTTCTAAGAATTTTGAGGACATTGTTTCCTTAATCAGCGTGAAAAACTGAGTATAGAAAGTTAATTTTGATATCACTCTAGTGTACCATGATCGATTTTTTTCTCTATATATGAAGGACGGTACATAGGTGACGCTAGTATACTGTGTAAAGATATCTAGTTTTTTTTGACAAGTTATGAAGTAATGTCATATATGTCATTCGCAACAGCTTCGAATAACTAACAAACCTATGTATAGACTTTTCGTTTTTACTTTGTTTTATCTATAAAAAAATATTATTTTTTTTCAAATATATATCCAATAGACAAGTTATTTTATATATAACGAATTATTCATTCAAATTTCGTACATATACACATTTTTTCTTCATTTACTACAATTAATCAAAGCTTTATTTTACTAATCTTAAGGTTTTGAGCGCCTTTTCTGTTTTAATTTGTTTTTCTTAAGTTATATTATAGTAGTACAGGTCAAGCATTTTTTTGCGATCTGTCTTAATTTTGTATATTGTAATTAATCTATTCATTAAACGTTTTTCCAATGCCAAGATCAAGTCGACGTCGAATTCGGTTAAATAAATCTAACAAAATGCGTTGGTCTATGAAAAAAATAGCAATTGATGATCATAGCAGTGACGAAGATGTTAAAATGGATTCAAATGAAATGATTGTTGATGATAATCTTAAAGATATCGGTTTGGATAGATGATAAAATGTTGAACCATATTGGAGATTTATTCCTAATATGTATTAATCAATGCAGTTTGAAAACATTAAGTACATTTATATATATAGTTTTAAAACATTTTAATTTTACTTGACGCGATATTGATAATTTTATGTGCAATATTGTTGCTATGAGATGTATTACAGCTAATAAATGGGCAGAAATCTTTGTCAAAGGCGATTTTGATGCATTTATGGAAGACGGACGTGGAGGAAAATGAGGTGATTCGTTTTTTGATGAATATCCAGAACTGGAGGCAGAAGCTAAATTATTTGTAGCTGATGCTTGTTCTAAAAAATCAGCCGATTTTAAAGCTATGAACTTGGCTAATTTTATTGATTCATCTTACTATACATTACTAAACACGAAGAAATGTCAAAATGAATTAATTCGATCAGAAAGAATGTGTCGACTTGATCTAAGACGATTGAGGTATAGGTTCGATCTGAATACGCAAAGGCCATATCATGAAGGACATGACAGACCTGATGTATTAGATTATCGAAAAGAATTTCTAGAATTTTTCTTATCCAAAAAAAACCATTACTATTTGGTTGCTGCCGGTGATCATCCAGATTCGTTAATTCCAACTCAGAAACCAAGGATACTGATTTGTAAATTTAACAGACTTCAATGAAGCACACATTTTTGACTATTTATTTTCTATTTCTCTTAAGGCCATGATGAAAGTACGTTTAGATCCGGTGAAGTGACTTCTAGAAGATGGATCTCAAATGAAACAGCACCTTTATTTTCGAAAGGAAGAGGACGTTCTTTAATGTTATCTGATTTCATGGTATGCCATCCTTCGGGACCATTTTTTTATTCAAACGAAGATGAGTGGCAGAAGGCAATTACCAAATTTCCAGATTTATTAAAAAATAATGATATTAACTATATTGATCGTACGTCAACAGCAGCAATCAATGTGGGAGCTGATGCATATTTCGATAATGAAACTGTACTATTACAATTCCAACGCTTACTCAAGATGTTGAAGTTTAAAACTGACTACAAAGATCATGACATTGATGTTTTATTGGACAACGCTCGTAAACATACAGCATGTCAATATAATCTTAATGATTTTCGTAAAAATATTGACAGCAGGTGTCCAGTTGATGTTATCGAGGATTACGATGAAAATGATATTAAGAAAACGATACAACGGTTTTTCAGTTCGGATCCACATGAAAACAAAAGTAAAGGATTATTAGAATAAGCAAAAGAATTAAACATTACATTACCAACAAAATGTTCCTTATCTGAATTACGTAAATTACTTAGTGAACATCCAGCATTTCAAACGGTAAATAACAGGCTTCTTGTCTTATAGCAGGAATTTTCTTCTTTCTTTTTAGAAAACGAAGCTGGAAAATTTACCTATAACATTTAATATTACTATAATTTATTCTCCTAAATTCCACTGTGAACTTAATCCTATCGAAGGATTATGGTGTAATATGAAAAGGTTCGTTCGACAACGGAACGATCAACAATATAACACCATGGTATTATTAATTGAACAATCAAGAAACCAATTTGTTAATATCGATTTATACAAGAAACTCTTTCATCGTTTCTGGCAACCTTGTGAGGCATACCGGGATGGTAAAACCTATAAGGCTGTTTCAGAATTGTTCTTTAGCAGTAGTTGCAAAAACGATATCACTTCCCAAAGAAGAATTACAAATACTAGTATTAATACTAATCAGGATTAAATAATAATTTCCATTTCAATTATTGTCTATTATTTTCGTTCACTTCTCCAACGACGAAAATTCGTATAAAATAAAAAATACTTTCCATGAACTTAAAAAATCATCATTAAATTGAATACTAAACGATAGAGAACTTGATGTGTGTTGATTATAAACAAAACTTGAGGACTTCGATTGAAGAGAAAACAAATTAAAACAGAAAAGGCGCTCAAAACCTTAAGATTAGTAAAATAAAGCTTTGATTAATTGTAGTAAATGAAGAAAAAATGTGTATATGTACGAAATTTGAATGAATAATT